CCCTCCCCCTCCCCCTTCCCCTCCCTCTCCCTTCCTCTCTCTGAAATCAATAAAGATATATATTTAAAAAAATTAAAATGAAACAAAACAAAACAAAAACGACCAATTTGGTAAAGGAATAGTTTGAACAGGAGTTGATATTTTTAGCTGCTTCTCCATCAAAGTACCAGTGAGATGCTGTTTGGCAAAAAGAAGAGGCTCTAGGACAGCGTCTCGGGGACAATGTGGAGGCCTGAGCTCAGGGTGAGGAAACTGGTTTGAGGCCAGGCAGGAAATGGCCTTTGAAGACTTGGTCTGGGAATGACAACAGACTCCCAGCTGAGCCCTTACTGGTCCCAAACACTGAGAAGCATGCAGACCACCTGTTTCCCATCTGATCCTCTCAGGAAATCCCTGAGGGGCCGCACTGATTATTCCCATATTATGAATGGGCAGCTACAGCTCGGAGAGCTTAGTAGAGTCAACTTGCCCAGCATGACAAAGGCAGTAAGTGGCAGAGAACAGACCAAAACAGGACACCCCTTTCCATCTGGTCCCAAGCCTTCATCTTAGCCACTGGGACAGAAGATAGCAGTAAGGCCCCCCGATTTGCTCATGACACCTCCTATGCGCAGCCTTTTGCAGTGGAGTTGACTTCTCCACCCTTTGACTCAGAACTGGGTCACGTAACTTGTTTTAGCCAATGGGCCAGTAACAAATGTGACCTGAATAAAAAGTGCTCAGGCTCTGACCAAGTCAGTTTGGCTCAGTGGCTAGAGGGTTGGCTCGTGGACTGAAGGGTCCAGGGTTGGATCCCAGTCAAGGGAATGTACCTCGGTTGCAGGCTCGATGCCCAGCCCTGGTCGGGGTGTGGTGTGTGTGGGAGACAACCAACTGATGCGTCTCTCTCACATCAATGTTTCTCCCCCTTCCCCATCTCTCTCTTTCCCTTCCACTTACTCTGAAAATCAATGGAAAAAACATCCTCAGGTGAGGATCGCTCAGAACTTCCTCTCTCTTGCTGCTGGGAATGAATCCTGCTGCTGCCACATTAACACACCTGAGCAAGCCCCACCCTCCACCCCAGGAGGACGAGAAATTGCCGAGAGAGGCCCAAGGAGCCAGCCGTCCCAGCTGCGCCCCACACTCGTCTGGGAAGCCTCAGCCACGCTGCCCAGACTAAAAGAAATGAAATGCCCAGTCAACCCACAGACTCAGGAGAAAGAACAATGTTTACTGCTGAAGGCACTAAGGCCCAGGGCTCTTTGTTATGCAGAGAAAGCTAACAGATACACCACCAAGTTATCTGTACAGTGCGGGCATGTTAGAAAGAAAGGTCCGCCCAAGGTGGCGATGGTCAGGGGTTGACGAGGACCTGAGCTAAGGCAGAGCTGCAGGCAAAAGGAGGAGTGAGTGGTTCAGAGCTATTTTAGAAGTAAAATCAACAGGATTTAGCTAGGGACTGACCCCAGAGTTGTCTAAAGGCATCTGGTGTTCACTATAAACAGATTCTATTTAGAGCTCACTGGTGGGGGCGGGTGTTTACATAGAAGATACACAAAGTGGCTAGAGGCAGGGCAGTTAGGGCTGAGTGTCCCGGGGAGGAAAGCTGCGGGAATGAAACTCTCTTTTCAGTCCCTGTTGTTTGAAAGAAGAATTAAGGTGGGTGCTCGCTGTCCCCGCCTCCTAACCTGGCTTGCCAAAGCTGCCTCCTCCAATGCCAGCCCCGGCTCTTAGCAGCAGCCAGAGGGATCCTTGCAAACTGTAACACAGACCTCCCCTCCCATCATGGGCTCATTTGTCTGTTCCTTCATGCTCTCATTTACCAAGAATTTACTAGGTGTCAGACATCACCTCAATCCTATTATCTGTTACTCTTACTAGACTGAGTGCCTTGGGGTGGGGGGGCAGTATTCTGCTTATCACTAGATTTCCCCACCCCAGCCCCCATTGGACAGCCTGTGGGTATGGGAGACACTCAGTACTGACCAATGAATGAATGAATGAATGAGCAGATGACTGCGTATCACTAGGATGTGGCTGATATACCACTAACAAGAGCCTGTAGCTGAGTATTACATATTCCACATCTTACTAAATAATTGATAATCACGATAAAACGAAAGCCCACATGTACACGGCACATACAGGGACACATACTGTAACTGTTCCATACCATAAGATGTCGGGGAAAATCTGTCCATTAAATTACACATGGAGCTCCGCACCCTCCCAGCTGAGCCTCAGGCATCTCTCTACAGCCTGGCACCTGTGGCCACCTATGACCTTTGGTTAGAGTCTAAGACTCACCTTGGAGCAAAACATAAACCTGAAGCAATTCTGCCATTAGTCTTCTTGGATTTTAAAAATATACTTGGCAATTGTTACCCCAACTGGCAAGCTTGCAACTGCAGGGCTTTTAAAGATAGACTGTACCCAAGTGCACCTACCTTCTGAGGCCTCAGTTTCTCAGGTCCTCTAAGGGCCCTAGGGCGCTGAACATGCAGAGAAGGTCATTACCCCACTACCTTGCAAGCTGGTCCCAGGAGCAGCCTCATTCACTTAGACTCTCCTTGTTTCGGTTAATAACACAGGCCCTGAAAACTTCTAAAATGCCATTGCAGCTCTGCTGGCCACACTCGGCCATGCCCAACTTCTCCTCTATTCCTCCCATTTCCCTGACCCTTCCACAATGACTTCCAATCAGAACAACTAAACTCTTTAAGAACAGATGAGGTGTGTTTACACACATGGGCCTCATCCAGGGAAGACAAATCAGACATAATCCCCATTTTCAGGGAGGCCCAGAAAGGTCCTGCGACTGGCAAGATCACAAAGGAGGAAACCGAGGCCCAGAGAGGCAGGCTCGTGGGTCACACAGCGGGGGGGCAGGGCCAAGGGCTTAGACTCCGTGCTCAGTGCTCCGTTCTGGATACCAGGCTGACTTCTTGTCATGCAGTCCCAGCCCATCCAGCGCCTCATATCCACCCATCAAACTGGCTGCCACCAGGTACCAACCCAGACCCTCTCTCAGCAGTGAACTGCTAGATTTCAAGCAGGACTCTTGGAGGACACTGTGCAGCAACTCTAGTGGGTACACAGATTGGGACAAATTCCAGTTTAAAACAAAATCCCAGTTCTGTTCCCCTCCTGTTCTGGATCTGTAATTATTCCTTCTTTGCCTCCATTAGGGCCTCCACCATTCACAGGCCCCTTGTGCAATCCGATGTGCATTTCTCCTGTGCGATATAATACAATAAACCTCTCAAGAGACTTCATCGTGTTCCAATTTTGTTCCTTCTCGGGTAGAGCAGGAGATTGGACAAAACCTCTCCCTCACTCCTAGAGGAGTGCAGCCAGTCCGCTTAATAAACCATCGCTTTTCCCTCCGCGCAAACAGATCATCTGAATAATTGCTCACATGGGGCCTGGCTGAACAATACTGCTGCCTTTTTAAATTACAGGGACCTTTTCTCTGAGGCCTGTGGTCACATCATGTTCCCAAACACATGACCTGCTGCTAGCCGTGCTGGCCGGGCGGGAGGCTGGTTAAGTCTAGGTGTGCACTTGCAGAGAAACAGCCTTTCTCTAAGTGTTCGTGGACTTGCTGGTAAGACAGAAACTGTAGCTGCTTCAATACTTTGCAGGGTTGTACGGAAAACTAAGTGAACAGAAAAACAACATGAAGTCACTTTAATAATAATCATCAGGTAAAACTGGTAGTAATAAGTAGTAGCAGATACCATTTCTAAGTGCTTCCTAGCACTTTGCCAAACGAAGCTGTTTGTACTCCAAACCCCAGTTAATCCTGACAGTGGTCCTATGACGTGT